AATGCCAAAACAAATATATATAAGAAATAATTTGCCATGAATTAAGTTTATGGTATTGAATGAAATGTGTGTTCCCTACCCTTAGACCCCAGAGGGTTAACCTATTGAACCACACAATGTACCCATGAGAGTAATTAGTGATGGTCAACAGTGATCTTAATCAGATTGTACTAGTATATTACTTGGGCTGTAACGCTGTGATTAACTGCATACTAATGGTCACCGATGTGGTCATTATGGTGATGCTGTGACCCCCCCCCCCCCCCCCAGGATATCGAGGCCACCATGAATACAGCGCTGAACGAGCTCCGCGAGCTGGAGCGACAGAGCAGTGCCAAACACGCCCCCGACGTGGTGTTGGACACGCTGGAGCAGCTGAAGGGCAGCCAGGGGGTGCCGGTGCCCACCTCCGAGCCGTCCAGCCCGCTACACTCACGCCTGCTCAAGGAGGCCGACGCTCCCCGGCACCCGCTGCAGCGCAGTGCCAGCTCGGCCAGCGACGTGCCCAGCACCTTCCGCCCGGGCAAGGCTGCCGTCAAGGGCCCCGCCCCCGTCCCAGTGCCCATCCGTGAGCCCCGCCCTCCTGCGACCCGCCCCAAGCCCGTGGTCTTCCCCAAGACCGCCTCCGGGGGCAGTCCTGCCATGGGTTCACCCACCACGTCCATGCCGCCCACGCCCCCGCCCCCACCGCCCCCTGCAGACAAGTCCTGCCCCGTGTGAGCAGCAGCCCCCGGGGGGCACAAGCAGCCAGCCGGCCGGACCATGGACCCCCAAACTTTTTTTTTTTTTTTTTGAAAAGGGACGGGATGGACTTCTCCAGAGACGGGGGCCCACATCCATGCAGGGCAGCGGATTTTTCTAGAAGAGTGCCCTTGCCATTCCTGTCGATGTGAAGTCGCCATCAACCTGTATTTTTCTAGAAACAGCGCAGTGGACTTTGGGGCACTGGACAGCACTGGGGAGGGCGAGCGCTGGCCTTGATGGAACCTAACAATGGACAGGGGGGTGGGGGCATTTTTATGATCAGGGTGTTGATTACAGTGCTGTAACACAAAGCTGTTCTAGGTGACTGTTTTTCCGTCGTGTGCCCCTATCTGCCCCCCCAGTCACACCAGCTGACTAGTAGCTCACTTGGGCCGCATCCCCCACCGGAAGACAGTGATGACGTCTCTGGTGTTCTGGCATTTTCCTCTTCTAAGCCCTGCTGCCGTCTCTCTCCTGCTAGTCGCTTCTGTTTGACTGTGGCAGTCATCACAGTTCCTGGCTTCGCTATTGGTCGGTGATATCAGGCCCCTCCCCCTGCAGTGAACTTACTTGGGCGCAGTGCCCAGCTCCAGGGGCAGCTCGACACCACATGCCGGCTAGCAAACCGCTAAGCTTCTGTGAAACTCCGCCTCATTCCGGCTGCGTTAACATAGATTAGCAAACCTAATGCAAGGATAACCAACTGTATTCAATAGATACATATTTAACTTTTCAAATGGAATCTGCAGATCAATCTTATACAGTTTTGCCCGGCTGTGTATTAAGGCATTTAGATAGAAGCACAACCTTTCATGGAGAATCTTCCACTGGGGAAATGGCTGCTTTTATATTCTGCATCGCTTCAGATATACAGTCAAGCTGTGTGTGTGTGTGTGTGTGTGCACGCATGCAATGGTGTGTGTGAATGCGTGTGCGTGCGTGAGTGTGTACATGCATGACAGTGTCTTACGATATAAGAGGATATTTCAGGACAGGGACTCCCACTGCGCTCCAGGGCAGGTAGCTGTGCTTTCGGCATGCCGATTCGTAGCAAAGCGGTGACCTCACATTCACCCATGTCTCTCCACCCACTTCCATTGGCTGGTCACTTTTGAGAGATTGAATCCGAGCATCTGACTCATGACTGTTATTGCGGGTGATGCGAAGCTGCCTCACCCTGAAACTGTATCTTCTTAAACTGTAAGGGGCTGCGAGGTCAGTGCTGGTAATCCTTCTGAGTGCTAATTTTTGACTTTGATCACTTCGCTCCTTGATGTTCACCGGTTCACCAGGACACAATTGAAATAGGATCGTTAACCTGCGTCTCGCACCATGGGCCGCTGGATGATTCTGTGACCGGGTTTGTCTTGTTCTGGTCCTTCCTCCGCCTTTACCTTCACTGTACTGGTGTGTAAATGTATGTTCGGCCTCCCAGCCCTTGAAGAGAAGGGAGAGCGACTGCCTTTGCTGCTTTGAAGCCAGTGTAGCCGTGTGCTCATGGTTCAGCCAGGAGGGAGGAATGGAGAAAGAGGCCCTATATGAATTTCTGAATAGTCCCAGGCCCTGCTTGTAGATGTGGTCCAAATAGGATGGGTTCGAGTCATGGGGGGTGTTCCGGACCTAGCCGGGGCGTGAGAAAAGCGAGGCAGCCACTGGCTTTGTAGCCATACACGAGCACTTGGAGTGATGCCTTCTCTCTTTCTCTCTCTCTCTCTCTCTCTCTCTCTCTCTTTCTTCCTTCTCTCTCTCGTACTGTGACCACATGTACACGGCCTCTTAGGCCGCTGTGCTGATGGATCCTCATTGAACAATCAGGTCGAGGCGGCCGGTTGATGATCGGAGTCATAATGCGGATTTCTAAAGACGCTCACTGCAGGCATTCCACTAACATTTTGTTCCAAAAGAGAATTCCTGTTTGATTTTTATTATTATTTTTGAAAGATGTTAACAGGTGGGTGTAATAACTCGTGTGTGTGTGTGTATGTGTGTATGGTAGGATGTAATCACCATGTGGTGACTCTCCTACTTATGTAACTGGAAACTGTTTCGGGGGGGGGGGGGGGGGGGGGGGGGGGGGGGGGGTGGGGGGGCTGCAGCATTAACATGCATTATACAGTAGGAGCTTATGGGGAAAGCTGGGTAGGTCTGGGTTTTCTTAAGACTGTGCAGGTGATTTTTTTAAACCTAATTCTCTTCATGTTTCCCTTCAGGAATCAAGTCGAATCCATTGATGCACTTGACGTTGCCATTGTGTGCTTGTTAAAGGGACGAACGGGGACTATTTTTTTAAGTCATGACTATTAAGTATGTATTTCTTGTCTTTGAAAACGAAACTGAACCTAAAAAAAAGACTGTCATGTCAAATATATTTATAGTTGTCCATCCAAATGTCTCAGTATGATCTGAAAACCTGTGTTCAAATGTACTATGTATATACAATGTTGTACATGACAGAGGTACTTTTTTGGTACAATATTGTACAGTAATAGCAATAGTAGTTTACTCTTAAATAGACCTTATATAATTCTACGTGTAGTTCTTGTAGTAAACTTTTTTTTTTAATTAAACATTGCTTGCTATAGAGGTTTCTGGGTCAGTGTGGCTCATTCATTCCAGTCGTGGTCCAGCTCACATCGTTAAACGTTAATGTTCCCTTGACGACCTTAAAGGCTTGTTCTCCAGCGGTGGGTCTTGGGATCGTTGCCTCTTCCAGCTGCTGATATCATCCTGACCCCAGTGCGTCATCCACACCCCGACTGTCTGCCGCAGCACTTATCCGGAAAAATCTGATAGCTCCACAGAGGGCAAAAGGATGGAGTGGAGGAACGAAGCCAGCAGCATGAAGTCTGAAATACTGCCTGCACTTTCTGGGAATGCGGGAGGAGATGACGATGATACTGGGAATCCCCATGTTTCCTGAAAGACCTTGTGGTTGGGAGCCAGTGTCTAAGGTCCTGATTTTGGGGGATTTTTTTAGAGGCAGCTGACACAGAAGATGCGTTGGCTGGCTAGAAGTGGGGAAGAAAAGGGTGGGAGTTCGTGTCTCACTGGGGGAGCCGTTACACAGTGGCACTGATGCAGATGCGTGGGGGGGCCCTGGGGGCTGCCCGTCGCCTTAAACTGCTCTGTGTGGTCGGAGTCACAGCACGAAACCCAAGGACATAGTCAATTTCAATTTTTTTAAATATATTTTAACCACTTTTTTGTAAGGCAGATTTTGAAAAAGTATCATTTATATTTAAACAGCATGGCCAGAACACAAGGTTACGTTTTCATTGTTTCCATTTGCTGGGTTTAGTATTAGTAAGTTATGTTAGTTTAGTCTGCATTTAGTAAACAGGTGATGAACAAGCGTTTTGATAAATAGCACAGGACTGATTTTGAGACTGGGGGACACACAATATAATGATTTAAATACAAAGGTTTGTTTATTGAAGGGATGAATGAATAGACCACTGTGCCTTAAATGAAATGACACCATGTAATCAGGTTGGAGGGGAAATTAGCACTGTTAAGTGGTTCGTGCTTTGGGAATAGCGTAGATGAGTTGATCTACGAAATATACAAATTTGCATATCTGTGGAATTTCTTCCTCTTACCATGTCCATAAAAATAAAACCGGCGTGTAATATATACTTAAAGTAATGCACTGGGAAGGTGTAAGAGAACGCTGGCGTTCCCATTAGTGACCAACAGGTGGCACCTTCTTTCCGCACCCAGGAAGCTGCTGACCTCCTCAAACGTTATCCTTAACGTGTCCTAATTGTGAGCAACTCACAAATGGGTTACTTTAAGTTCGCCATCTGCAAAGCAAAAATTGTCAATGGAGACAAAGCTATTACTCGGAATTTCAAAATAAAAAGACGGCGGCATCTTTCCTAAAAGTAAATGAGCTGTAAAGTTAATCCGAGTTTTGTTATCCGTTTTATTACATAACTAACCCGATATATAGGTCGCTAATTTTTAAAGCTTGTTTTTATCTGAAAGTTGTTTTTTTCCCACATGCGTTTCCGTCTTCATCACCACATTAAATGATAAATGGGGACTGTATTTCATATACTAAAACAAGGATTGTTATCGCCGATCAGCTTCTGAAGTGAGGGAGTCCATATAAATTTGCATATGTCAACAACTAAATAACAGCGTTAACCGCTAACTGTTCAATTAGCGAGGAAATCATTTCAAACCTAGCCCCAAAAGGCTGTGAGCCATAACTCCAAGCATATCAGTCATTATCTCATACCCATAAATATAACCTAAAATCTCTATGTAGGAGTTATAGAAATTAATGTGTCGATCAGCTGTTGGGCTTTTTTGATGATTGTGTTATTTGACCTGCAGCACTCACAGAAATTTTTTTTTTAATTGTACCTTCACTTGTCATTGAGCTGTACCCTCAAGGGTCTGCCAATTGTACCCTTAGCTGTAGGTAACTACCTTTTAAGGTACAGAAATGGGCTTTGGGGAACACGTCTGTACTATTAGTGGTACATTAATGCTGTTTGTAGCTTTGGGATGTTCCTCATTGTACATTTCTGTACCTTAAAAGGTACAATTAAAAGGGTACTGTACAAATTTTTACCCTTTTATCTGACAGTAGAACCTCGGAGGATTCATCGTAACAATTAGTTTGCACTATGCACAGACTACTGTCTTTGCACATTGTCTTGTTTTATGCTGTAGGTTTGTCTGCATTTTACATACATTATCGTTGTATGCACCAGAATCTCCTCCTGGGATAAATAAAGTTCTCAGTGGCCCAACAACACCCTGTTGGCAGTCACTTATTTATGTTCAGCTGAAGACGACCCTCCTGGCTCTCCCCAAGACAAACTCCCACACAAGGTGAATGACTCAGCTCTGTATTTACGGTCTGCACACCTAACGCAGTCCCGCGAGGGGGCACTACAGGCATGGCAATAAATTACGGGGAGGATGGGGGACTGTAACCCCCCTCAATAAATCAAAACCGGCTAATACAACCCCCACCACCACCACCACCACCACCCTCCAATAATCGTGTTTCCCCCTAAATTGGTGGGGGGGCATCAATAATGTAATAAACCCAGCTAACAAATGACTGTCACGTAGGCAAGTGGGTGAGCGGAGAAGCAGGTGAGCAGAGCCGGAAATATGGACAGACGGGGTTTATTAAGGGCAGACTGGCGACGAACACCAAGGAACAGCACATAACAATACATGACACCACAATGACTGATCTGGGGAAGACTGACTGAGACTCGGACTAAATACACAAGACTAGACAAAAGGAACAGGCAACAGGTGAGTACAATCAGGGATTAACACGAGATGACAAGGTGGGCGTGGCACACACGAGGATCGGATGGAGCTGGGCGCGACAGAACCCCCCCCCCCGACGCCGAGGACCTGCACCGAGGCACCGGGGGAAGGCCCGGAGGTGACTGCCGAGCCAACGGCGCAGGCCCCGCAAGCAGCCACCTAGCCACAGCCAGGGGCCGAATGGGCGAGCCACGGGGCAGGGCGGGACCCGGGCACGACGCCTGTGTCCCTGTCCCTTACGGGACACTGATAGGCGGGGTCCCGAGTGGTGTTGGTCCCGGCAGGGCAAGGGAGCGGGAGTCCATAGGGAGGTCCCCGAGGACAAAGGAGCTGGGCGCTGGTTGTCCGGGTCCTCCTCAGGAACTGGGACTAGTGCTGGGGGGTCAGGAGTCTTTTCTCCATGGGAGGTGGCCGGCGAGGACGTGGGTGGGGTGGCTGCAGGTGGTGCCGCCTCATACACAGACGAGCAGGGCTGGACAGATGAGCAGGGCAGGACTGGCAGGACGGACAGGACTGACAAGCAGGGCAGGACGGGCTGGATGGGTTGGACGGGCAGGACGGGCTGTGCCACGGGCAGGACGGGCGGTGCCGCGGCTGGCACCTCGGGCGTGTGGCCAGCAGGGGGCGCCTTGGCTGGCACCTCGGGCGTGCGGCCAGCAGGGGGTGCCTCGGCAGGCACCGCCGACACGTGGCCAGCAGGGGGCGCCTCGGCAGGCGCCGCCGACACGTGGCCAGCAGGGGGCGCCTCAGCAGGCACCACCGACAGTGCCGCGGGCAGAGCGTCGTCTGGGGCTCCTTCCCTTTTTCCCCTGCGCCTCTTCTTTCGCTGGCCCAGACAGGTAGGTTGAGGCGGGGTTGCCTCTGTAGGGGCGAGCGGCTGGAGCCGCTTCTCCTTCACCTTGTCGACAAGCTGCTGCAGGAGGGAGCGCACTTCCGCCATAGCGGGCGCTAGTGTTGTAGTCAAGACCGCCTGAACCGAGACCAAGACATTGCCGAGACCGGAGGGTATCAAGACCAAGACACTGCAGAGACTTGAGGGTACCAAGACCAAGTCCAAGACCAAGACTAAGACACACTAAGGCGAGACCAAGACTGGTCGAGACCAAGACCAAGACCGAAAACAGACTAGAGCTAGAATCGACATCACATTACTCAGATCAACTGTAGAGAAAAAAGGCATTGCTGTAAAGTGTCATTACTCGTTAAATCAAATTCATGTTATCTTTTCAATTATATTGTCCATATGTCCATATGTCTGTCATTTAAAATCTCCCAGATTTGTCATAGTTACGAGGCCTGATGGAAAATAATATTATCAGCAATCCTCTCCTATAACCATTTTATCAGACCTCGTCAAGGGAAAGAGATGGGATGTACCAGAAAGATGTGTAACCCACATGATAGTGGATCACATGAAAGAAAGTGTTAAAACGGTTAGTATTTAAATAGTTAAAAATAGTAATATTAAAAAAAATATATTACAAATAGGAAGTTTTTGAAAGGAAAAAAAAATCAATTCATGTGCTGTTTTGCTTTTATTTTGCCAAAGAGTCCATTTGGAAATTTATTGGAAAGCAGAGTTACATGAGGCTCAACCAATCAGAAAAATGTGCACGCTAAGTAGTCCAGCCCACCTGCTGCTGGGAGGAAGTTTGGGCGTGCTAGCGGGAAAAAAGTTTTGAGACGAGAGCGAGACCTTGGCGTTGGGAAAAAAACTGGAGCTTAATAACGA